TTTTTGCCGTTTTTCTTCAGTTGAGTATAGAAATTTGAATCTTGTTTCTCCAATTCCCCCCCTATGCCATCTTTTTTCGCAGCCGAGCTGGGCGGTTTTTTCCCTCTTCCCGGTCAGCGGCAGAGGTGTTTTGCTTGCAAGCTCCCCCTTGTCCCTAGCCTGTTTTCCACTCCATTCCAATTTCCCTCGTGCTCAGTTCGGGGGTCGCCAGGAACGAAGGGCATTGGGTGCAGTGAGCTGTCGCTTCGAGTCGCCAACTCCCTGTGTCGTCGAGCCTCTCTTGCCGTGCGTCAGAGGCACCGATCTTTTCAACAGCGGAGTCATAGGCGATGTTAGGTTCGCCAGGAACAAAGAGCTCTGGTTTTGGTGAGCATTTGCTTCCCGTCCTTACCCACCGGCCTACCTCCTTGTGTCGTCGACCCTCTCGCGATCGGCGTCAGAAGCTCCGACCTTTTCAGCGGTGGTCATTGGTGCATTTTGTCTTTGCTCCGCCCCTCCCTGTTTTTGCTCCCTTACATTTGCCCCGTGCTCAGATCGGTTGAGCTATGCCGCTGCTTTGCATCCTCACCCTCCTGCCTCTTGCTAAGCGCCAGGGGATTTTCATCATCGATAATTTCTTCTGACAGCACGTGATGTTTGATGAAGATCTTTTATTTCAGATTTCGTCTTCGTCTCCTAAACCGACATGCTCTGCTTTGGGATGCAGGACCTGGCTTTGCCCATAAGTTCACGACTGGTGTCGTGCATGGTAAAGAACTTTTCACCAGATTCTTGGCAACGGTGGTCCATTCTGCTGAAATTTCGCACGAGGTCCCAGAGTGGGCCCTTTTACGATCACAGTCCCGAACGACCCCTCTCCTCTGGGCAGTATAGGACATGGCGGCCCACTTCTTGGACCCCTCAGGAAGAATCGATGGCTTTCGCATAGAAAAATCATCACCAATGCTGGAGGGTCTTTAGAGCAGTCTTTACCCTGTCCATGACCCAGAGACAGCGGCGCAGGCGGTCGGCCAGATCGACCTCGAAGCTTTTTTACAGAGACTATTAGCCAAGGCTATGTTTTCCATAATTCATTCCATTTCTTTGTATTTTTACGTCATTGGGATTAAAACAACTTATTCAATTCCACAGCGTTTCATGCCCCTCATGTTACTGCAGGTGTTGAGGACGGAAAATGGTATTTTCCTCCAACCTATTCTCGGCCTTCCAAACTCTCCCGAACGTTAGCTTCTTTCAGTTTCCAAAGACTATCTGGCCTTTCCTGGCGATGCAGAATGTGCGGCTCCAGGGTTGCCAATTACTGCTATTGCACCGCAACGTTTCGCATTTTTTAAAAGTCAAATGTTCCTGTGAAATGCCATGGAATGTTTCCATAGTTTCTGGGAGGCCGAGAAAAAACTATTTTTCTTTATCAGATGTCCTATTATACATATGTATGTAAATTTCGTTCTCCACTTCCCCTTCTCTTCCGCTGTGGAGGTCGTAGAAATTCAGACTTACAACAGAATCTTGAAGAACTTTTCCGTGACGTAATCTTTACAGAGCGAATTCTCAAATGACAAATAAAATTTGTAGTCGCGTTCGAGCAGCGTATAGCAGTCTGCAGAGCGCGACCGCGGACATTGAAATGGACCGCACTTGCCGTAAACGTCAACGCTGATGTATTGCTGCAGCGTTTTGGTCAGCCTGAAAAATAACAATTAATATGCAAATATATAACACACATGTATAGTAGGATAAGAATCACCATAATTTTTCTTTCATTTTTTCCTTAGCTGTCCGTCTTCATAGTACTATGATATCATTCATGTTTGAATAATTAGATAATTTTACTGAAAACTGCAACTAAGCATAAATTTGCGCTTGAAAACTTAGACAGACCTGGATCTACTGCTGTCAGTATTGCAGTTCGAAACAAACCATGCAGCCATCTTGGTCTTCCCGACAGCATAGTTGATACTTCTAAGACTCATAGCATTTTGCTGCTTTCGCTTCAGCACGCGTCCAATCCTGAGAAAAAGCCTTACATTATGAAGTCCTTTTTATTACTTCTCCCCTTGTTCGTAATAACTTCGTATAACATTCATTATGCGAAGTTATACGATTTCGCTTCAGCACGCGTCCAATCCTGAGAAAAAGCCTTACATTATGAAGTCCTTTTTATTACTTCTCCCCTTGTTAGTAGAATTCCCTATCATTTTATGATGGTAAGTAAAGCTTTTCTTCTTAAACATATATTCTTTCAGGCAGAGAGAGAGAGAGGGGGGGGAGGGGGAGGGGGAGAAAGGGAGAGAGAGAGAGAGCTAGAGAGAGAGAGAGAGGCAGGGATAGTTGATACTTCTAAGACTCATAGCCTTTTGCTGCTTTCGCTTCAGCACGCGTCCAATCCTGAGATGAAGCCTTACATTATGACGTCCTTTTTATTACTTCTCCCCTTGTTAGTAGAATTC